AGATTCTCTTTAAAAAATACTTGAAATATTTAGTCAATAAAATATTTCCAACATGTTTTGGATTCATTCCCTCTGGTGCCTTTCTGAAATATGCTTTATAAATAAATAAGTGATRGGCTTTGAAATCAAGTTTTTCTCCAATTAAGTTTTTAAATATTATTCTCATGTGTCAACCTCTTGTCCAGTTTTGCACATTTCTAAGTCAGTCTGATTGCTGAATGGCTTTTACAGGTAAGGTCATGGAGCTTTTGTCCATTTCTTATATACCGGGTATGGTTTGAATTGTAGATTATATTAAAGTAAATGAGAAACTAAATGAAATGGGCTGGAGATCTGACAAGAAGTCTTTGGAGGAGAACAAGTATGGCCAGTGTATTCAAGAGAATGAGCAAAGGTGAACAGATATTTCTGAGCAGATCTTGGTTCTTATGATTTGATTGAAYTCAGGACTCCAGTAGATGAAGTCCAGGAATTTGAACTCCAAAACACAGGTGAGTAATAAGGTGGTCAGGTGAGCTTCAGAGAGACATAAAGTGGTTGTACATTTAGAGTTACCAAGTGATTTTTACCAGTCCAACAAAACATTGTGCAGCTCAGTCTTAATTATTCAGCTGGCTTTGATGTTAACTGTTGGGACCACTCCAGGAACACCCTTTCAACATTTGCCATGTGAGTTAAARGGACAATATCATGTAAAATCAACTTTTTTGAGCTTTATATTATGTTATAATGTTATTCTGTCATCAAAAACATGCCCAGACTCTTGTGTTGACACATTCATGCATGTTTGAGAAATCCTTTAGTGTCCTGAGGCAGCAGGCAGGGGAACAAAAACAACTGGTTGGGACTAGAACTGCCTTTTGGGACCAGCTCCTCCTTTGGGCTGTGTCTCTGAACCGAGCTTCCTCGTCACAGAGCACACCACCACCCCCACCTCCGGCCTGCCCCATGACTCCTGCAGGCTATGCAGCAACAACTAGCAAACACCCTGTAAAAACAGTCTGCTGAGCTCCCAATATTACTTCTCAGTGCAGCCAAGGGAACTACACCGAGCCCCACCACCCCCCCACC